AATAAAAACGAAGAGTAGCCAAATAAAAAAATAAGAAAAAAAAGGAAGAAAAAGAAAAAAGATATTTACGTGACAACCACAAAATGTGACTGCTTGACTATATACATATATAAAATATTGTTGTTACAACCTGATACACACCGGGCCGTAGTATAAGCGACAAACATATGGTAGCTAAGATGAAAAGATTGTGAAAAGGTTACTTACCCCCTTATTTTCCTTCCTGTTCCAAAATAACAGCGGAGGAAGAAAGGCTGAAAAGAAAGGAAAAACGAAAAATATTAATATAAACAAAACCAAGCAGTTTTTTTTTCAACTACTTATGTCAGCGATGTATTTGCACGGACATAAGCGACTAAATGAAAAAAAAATAAATAAATAATTAGAAGAACGTCCTTTTATCCCAATGTTACTCCACATCTCTGACTTTTCATTTACTAACAACTTCAATTTGCAATTTGTACTTAAATAAGTGCACGTAAGTCAACAAAAAGCCGCAGTTAACAACAATCAAGAGATAAACTCTTGTTTAATACAAAAACTGCACAAGTTACTACAAGTTAAGCACGTGCTGTTCTACTATTCTACTATACGTTACACTGGTATTGCAATTTTTAATTCATATCTGCCGTTATTGTTATTCTAGTGTTTGATACGTCAACGTTCGTATTTTTAAATATTTTGATTACTTGAAGTGGTATATGCATTAAGTGATTCCAAGGTTTCATTATTTTTCATATCTCTCACCCTTACGTGTGTGTGTTCTGTAGTCACACCCACAAGCGACAGGAACATGTTTTAATTAAGTCTACGTGAGCACAAAGGAAGAGCAAAATTGAAAAGACAACTCATCGGTTGAATCGTATGAGTAACGCTCGTTAGTTAGTTAGCGTCTAATTGAAAAAAACAAAGATAATATTTTCATATATACATATATCTATATTTATATAGCGAGCGTCCGAAACGTGCTTCCGGATAATTTCTAAAATTTTGTTCAGAAATTATTTTGAATATTTCTTTTTTCACATCAAATAAAACGGGCCATGAATGTGTGTCAGGTATAGCACATTGAAAATAATATCTATCTTGGCTACAATTCATATTGCGTGAAGTGAGTTCTTAACATTTTGCTTTTTTAAATTTTTAATATGATCAGAGAATCAGAGGATGGTACAACTCGATGATGATCAGAAACTAGTGGAGAAAGAGATTAGGAGTTTTCGCAGATTGGTAGATGCGCGGCCAATCGAGATCGAGTTATACCCGTTCACTGAGTGAGTTCTCCCTCACTGAGCTCTCACTATCTCTCCCTGATTGAGCTCTCACTAGCTCTCACTAGCTCTAACAAGTACGGCCAAACGGCATTGACATTTTAACCTTCGATCGCCGACTTGATAGTCGCGGCACTTATCTACTCGACTACGCGGCAGAGTTACTTAAATTTGCTGATACGAACTTCATCAAGTCTTACTTAAGCTCCTTTGGCAGCTGACAGCCCATGGAAATTTAAATAAGGAAAAAACAAAAAGTGAGCGAGGTTTGTTATACCGTCGAGTGTAAGCCGTGTTTCATAGCAATATAATCAATAAATGAAATTTTCATTTTACCTAAAAAAAAGCACTTTTTTACCCTAAATCTTTTGAAGTACAAGGATAAGGTTGTAGAGGTGTATATAAAACTGATAAGTACTTGGGATCGACCGAACATGTCTAAGTTTGTGTGTCTGCTTATGTGTTTGACCACTTGTCCATCTGATGTCTGCATATGTATTCTCGTGTTCAACGTAACGAAACTAGCTTTTGTCATATTTTGACTTGGTTCAGATCGGACCACTATTTCGACCACTTTCCATGTGACGCCTTACTTTGAAAATCGTTGCATGAAAAACTGTATTAAGCGATGTATTGTAGAGAATTTAGTGATGGGCCGTGGGATACTGTATTCAAAGCTTCCTTAAAGGTACAACAGAATTTGCCTCTTTCTTTTTTTTTTTGTAAAAATCCAACACTTGTTAGAAATACTTTTCGATTATGGATTGTTCCTAGGTTCTAACACAAATGCTATCTATTGTACCTATTTTTAACTATCTCATGTATTCTTAACTCCATTTACGTCCCATGTGATACTGATTGACATAGCTTTATCAGATCTTCGATCCGGCTTAAATTATTTAAAGAGAAAAACGCTATTAAATACTGGGAATAAGCAGTTAAAATCCATTGTCCTCTCAACAATGAGTGTAAGGCTAACGTATTTTAAAATTTCAGCAGTCATTTTATAGGCATCAAAAGAATTCAAATGCGTGCGATGCACTGATAATGGAAATGCGATAAAGTGCATATCTGTTTGATCAGCATACATGGACGAATTGATTTACCCAACTATCCTTTTTTCTATCCGTCTGTTTGTTGAAAATACGGTAGTTATCCTCTCAAGCTTTGTCTAAAAGAAAACACTTTGTCCCTCATTCTTCCCCTTTTAATTGTCATAAAATTTTCGTGCTAAATCTTTTAACATATCTCTCATATATAACGTGTTCACATAACATATAAAGCTTTCTGCAAATTAAACAAAAATTTTGGAAAACGAAAACGTTAGCAGTGAATTTCCCTTAAAGCTGCGCAAATTTTTCATTTTATATTGCGGCCGAGTGAATAAATTTTAGGTAGTACTTTGCTGCGGGCATGGTTAATAATAACTTCAAATCAAGCTCTGCGTTGAAGCATGCAAGTAAGCCGATGAAAAGACACTGCCTATGTATGCTTTGGTCAGTCTTTTTCACAAATATCTCCACACGAGGATCATAAGTTGTTGACAAGGGGAAGACATACTTGCCAGCTTTTTGTGTGCTTTCCTTAAACTGTGTTTTTAATGTAGACGTATTTATGCTTCAGTCTCGTTGATGTTTTAGCATCTTTTTCTTAATCAATCCAAAATACAAGCCATCTGCCTTCAATTGTCTTGTGTATGTAGCACTTCTCCAGTAGAGAGATAGATCAAATCGATATACTTTGGCAGATGTAGTAGGTATTTGCTTCCGCCGTGTATTTCGCGTTGCTCGAGGCTTTATTGCAGAAAACTGGCTATACATTTACTATCAAAAATATTGTTTATCGATTATGGCTCATTTTCAAGTCAAATAACTCTGATGATGAGTATGGTTTTAAGAACAGGAAATGTATCTAAAGGTATAGGTGATCGCAGTTGTAGCTCTAATTACCTGTTTTTTTAAGAGACTAGTAACGTCCCTTAACCATTGCAAACATAATTATCTTGCACGAAACGTGTGCCCTTGTTACCCGAGGGTTGAAAGTTTCACGAAGAAACCGATCGATTTGATTTGTTCAGACAATATTTAGCAGGTTTTTAATAATATTGGCTCGAACACTTTTTGTTTTCTGCATATAAGAGACATTAGCAAATACGGCGCCCAAAAGCACTTGCAATACAAGTGTAATCTGTTTCTCCAAGAAGAGATAAAAATTATTTAACATATCATGAGTAAATTTTTTCTTTTGGTGGTTGCAAGTAACTTGAAATACGTATCAGGCGTGATTCCATCTAAACTGTGACCATGTCAGAGTGATGGTAAGCACAAGAAGGCTTATTCTTTTGTGATAAGTTATTATCAAATCACTATTTTTCCTTAAAAATGAAAAGATTTTTGATTCTGTTGGTTACTCAGAGAAATTATAAATTTAGAAAATATTTTCCAAAATAAAGGAATTTATAAGCCTTCTTGATAATGTCCTTCATTAAGAGTTTGTATTTTGAAATTTGTTCTCAATTTTTCCTTAATCCGTTCATTTAAGTTAAAGGCAACATATTTCGTTTTGTTTAATTGCGCCAAGCTATCCCATTAGTAAATATTAAGAAGAAAGAGTAAGCATTTATTTTTCCATATGTATATGTCGTTATTTATATGCGTTTCTCGATATATACTAAAGGATATAAAACCAATCTTTTTTCTGTTTTTTTTTTTTTTTTTTTTGGATGTGTGTAAAACGTTACTCTTACTCAGCTTCAGCCTAAAATTAAGGAATAACATAAAAAGCATACAGACTGCTAGTAAAACAAAAGCAACAATAACAAATGTAAAAGAACAAGAAGTTACAAATTGACATAGTTTTCGGGACTTAACAACAAAAAACAAATAATAAAAAAAAAAACAGCAAAAGAAAAAATGTAAGTAAATAAATAAAATATAAATAAAAATAAAAAAAACAAAAAACAAACACAACCAAAAACCAAAACACAAAAATTCACAGTCAGTGGCTTGAAGGAGCCGAAGCGAGCGAGCATTTGCTGAAAACTGTTATAATTCGCCTTAAATACCTACCAGCACTATGTGTACGCAAAAGGAACACTACTGCAAGAGAATGAGGAAGAGAGGGTAGGATAGCGAGAAGAGAAACAGGGAGAAAGCAGAGAGTGCACAGAGAGAATGCTAGAAGTGTTTCGAAATACTGACCTTTCGCATAAAGATTTTCGAATTTGTACTCTTTTCGAACTTTGTTAACACCCTTAACTATAAAATCGAATAATCGTTGCTCTCTCTCTCTCTCACTCTCTCGCTTGCTCTCACTTTCTCTAGTTTTTCGTTGTTGTCCACGGAGGATACAGGACTTTTCGAAATTGTACTCCTGCTCTTGTGTGGAGCATACATAACACAAAACATGTTTACCACTAACTTCAATGAAGTAAATGCTTCTTAGTTAGTCGATTGAAAACGTTCAAAACTGAATATACAAAAGCTATATGCTTTTATTGTGTACGTGTGTGTGTGCGTAATTGTAAGAAAACGTAACAAGAAGTTGTGATTACATATTAAAATCGAAAATATTTTGACAAAATCTCGTCGCTTTTTTGAAATAAAATTTATCTTCAAACACTTGTGTTATGTAAAAGATCAAACAAAAGTTCAAAACATACGTGTCCGGGAAATATTCATTTTATTTAAGACAAATTTTCTTCTTCTTCTTCTTTGTTTTTTTTTTTTTTTTTTTTTTTTTTTTTGATTGAAAGTGAAGTTGAACGTATGTGAAAGTACGGTTGACTGCAGAGCTCTTGTTAATTTGGCACAGTTTTCTCTAAGGTTCAGCGAATAAAAAGTTTTTGAAACTTTTTCTCCTCTTTTTTGCTTATTGCTCGGGTATGTTATGCACACAGATATTAATTTTTAATGAAAACTCGTTCACTCATTCATTTGCGATTCTTGAGGGCTTTAACATTCATGTGTATGTGTTATCATAAAACTGAATTTCATTTCAAATGGTCCTCTGTACGTGCTTCTGTGAGCGTATGTGTATATGTAAGCATTTCCCAGTTTGAACGTAAAGAATAGCATACGATTGCGGTATGGCATTTGTATGCAATATTACTATTACAACCGGTGCTGGTGGTGGCTCTATGCGATGCTAAACTATTTACCATTTGTAACCCAATTTTATATAATGTGTCTGTGCTTTACATTTTCGCATACACACACGTGCGACCAGACAAACTTACGGGTGTAAGTATCACACAGTTTATGGCAAATGAAATACAATGAATTTGTGGAATAAAGTGACAACACATATACATATGCATATATGCACACGTGCATATATATATATATATATATATATATATTATACTCGATGCTCTTAGTTTATTGCGTCATCTATTCGCTAAAGTGCTCCGATAACAAATGCTGAGAAAAAGTGTTTGCTTTAAGCGTTCTTAGCGTTTTTCGTATCTATTTTTCAATTATTTATTTCACTTTTTATGTTTCATTATTGTTTTGCTGATTATGTTATTGTTGAGCATGTTGAGTAAATAGCATAAAAAATTCTAAGCGTTTCGCAGTAAGTACTACATAGTATATTTATTTATTTATATATGTAAGACTTGTTCCAACAGCAAAACGTGACACATTTATTTACAAACCAGACTTCTTCCCGCTATCAAATTATTTCTCATTTAGGGCACTTTAGACAACAATGTTGCCCCAATGTAGCACACATATAAATATATACATTGAACCTTTATATCTTTAATTAACCCAAGACGCTAAATAGCATATCTGCCGCCCATCTATCATTTCATCCATTTTTCCTTCCTACTATTAAAATTCGTACTTGTTACCTACTTTCTTGGTTAAATTTGATCTTTAACTTTCCCCTCAAGACAAAAAAAAGGCGGTAAATTTAACAAGTATTTAAAAAATTTTAATCCCAATAATTGAGATATGCAAACGCTAAATATATTAGCACTAAACGAGTTGTATTAACATATTCGTGTTTCCATTCGTGTTATTTATACAAATTCACTTTCAGATTCCAATTGTAATGGTACTCATGTATGGAAATCGTAATTATAATCGTAATTGTAATCATGTTCATGTTCGTGTTCATGCCCATATTCATATTCATATTCATAGCCACATTCATATTCGTATTCATAACCATATTCAAATTTCTATTCATATTCATATTAGCATTTACATAAATATTCATATATAATTTGTGTTTAAATTTATATTCATATTCATGTTCATATTCATACTCATATAAATATCCATATCTATACTCATATTTACATTCAATTCATTTTCTTATTCATATTTATGTTCTCTTATATTAGAATTCTTATGCATATTCACATTTATATTATGTTCATATTCATATTTACATTCATACTCAAGTTCATATTCGATGTGAATGAAGCGAATGAATGAAACTAATATAATTTGTACTATTATTGGGTGAACAAATCACTTTCTAACACAAATAAAGGCTTCACTGTCCTTTATTTCATTTACCGCTAAAGTGCCTCGTATCCTTGTTAGTGTAGAACACTGAGTTTGTCTGCCAGTCTGCCGTTGGTTGCTACTTGGCTTTCGTAATCAAGTTCAAAATGGGCGTGATTCACACGCGCAATACAATATTGATCTAAACTTATAGAAATGTTCACTTAACACTCAAATGAGAAGAGGATTTGTTGTCCACCTACAAAGTTTACCACTTATGAGAGCTATTGAATTCAGCCTGTTAAGCAAATAGTTCGTAGACGGGCCTTAAGTTTCACTTTGAGAAGAATTTTAACCTGTCCACTCATAAGCTAACAATTAGTAAAATATTGGATGGATCGGGGTGGAGGGTATCAAAAGTTTTTTTCTGCCTATAAAGTCGAATGCACTTTCCCACCTTCTTTTTAGTTTAATTAAAATCCTTCTGCATTTGATGACCGTTACATATGAGCAATAAATCACCAGATGACTGGACTCTGAATAACTTATCTATGTTTTAAACAAGTGTTACATTCATATGCATATGATATTCTAATTAAAATGACGTTTTTTAAATATTCTCAACGAAGTTAAAGTAAAACTACGTAAATATTATTTTATTACATTTGTATGTGAAACAGAATTTTTATTATAGTTGTGTCAGTGGCTTTCAAAAATTTGCAGATTAAATTTGAATAAACAAGAAGAAGAAAAAGAAATCTAATGATAATAGTAACAGTAGGTGACGAGATAGAAAAGAATGTTAGGACAGGCAGTTGAAAGTATTAAGCATTAGAAAAAGTTATACTTGCACTGGTCAGGTATGGAAATCTAGAATGAAACCTAAAAACTTGGTTCTTTAACAGGACTAAGGCCTATTTTTTTCTTGCTTCTTTCTCTTTGTAATTTTTGCAACTGCGTTAGAAACTCAATTAGGCCAATGCTTACGAAAACTTCAATAATTCCAATTTGCTTCTGACTAAAGCAGAAAGTTTCTTACCCTAGATTAGAAGTAAATATAATGACCTATTGGTCTTACATTAACTACGGCTGGCGTTTAAAAAAAGATTCTATACGTTTATCAGGCAATCACAGAAAGTGAGGTTATAGTGAATTCTAAATTCTTTTAAACTTTGACTTTATAAACTTTGTGAGGAATCAAAGAAAGATTCACTTCTATTGTAATATACGCAAAATAAAGTTGTTGTACAAGCTTAGTATCGTATAAAATTAACCTTTCTTCTTATAAAATCTAATTGTAACCGCATCACGAAGTTTTTTGAGATGAAACGAGAAGTTAACACAAGCTTTGTTAATAAAATATCAAAGAAAATTGTAGAAAATGGTTGTTTTAACAAAGTAATGGAATTCAAAACGATCTAAACATATAAACAACTGTCCTCGCAAACCTTGAAAAACAAAAAAGAGAAAAAGTTAGAAGAAAGCTTAACTTAAAGATAAATAAACTTTGGTTTACTTGTGTGCGTGTATCTTTATATGTGTAAGTATATATGCATCTGCATACACATATTTGCAAATATTTGTCTTTCCAAAACTACAAAATAAATATACAGCTCAGTAAGAAAATTACTGCAATTACTTTTGTTCTTTTTCGTTTACGTTTCTTTTTTTTTTGTTTGCTTTTTTTTTCTTTAAGTTTTATTTTTAAAGAAAAGTTCCACAAGTAGAGCATAAACCATTTGCTTCCAGTATAAAGCGCAAATAGTTGAAAATTACAACAAATATAAAGAACAGTTTACATATATGTGTACTATTAGCTGTAAGCAAAAGTTGTTTTTCCCTTATTTTTATATTTCTGCCAGAATATAATTTATACTGCATAATAACTTTTATTAAAACATTTTTCGAAGCAGACCGAATTAAATTTCAATTAAAATAATTTCAAGCCTTTAAAACTTTTTTCTTTTATGCTTAAAAATATTTCGTTACGTCCATACTACTACTACCTGTGTATACATGCGGTTATGGGTCTCAGCCCATTAAGTTTATTTCTTTTTTCTGGTTTTTTATTTTCTGCGTATGGCTTATGAGTTGTGTTTTATTTTCATAATACATGCAAATATTTTCATTACTGCATATGCGGGCATCCAACTAACGGCAATGGCGACATTAATTACATCCTAACATATATATATATATATATATATATATATATTATTCTCTTTTTACACGATAGATACGTTCCCAGAAAATTCGTGTAAAAGAATATGTGTAACAAAAATTATTGAGTATATAAAAATATGGTAGATTGGTTTCAGACCTAAAAAAGCAACTCAAGAGTACGCTAAAAAATATTAAAAAGTTCTCGTTAGAGGTATTAAGAATTTATTTCGTACTTATACATTACAATTTATTAAATATATTATAAAGAATAAATTATGCTTTGAAAAACCAAAGTAAATGGCCTAAAAGATACATTACGTCTATACTCTATTTATAATTCCGCTAGATATATGCGTATAATCGACATTGAACTGAATTGTGAAAAATATAGTGCGAAGTTACAATGCCTATTTGTGAGGGGTGAGAATGAAAATATTTTGGAAAGATTACGAAAGAAAGAAATCTTTAAAAAAATTCATTAAAAAAAGTCCCAAAATAGAATATTGAAAATCGTGTTAAAACAAAACAATTCGTGTAAAAAAAATTATCTTTTCTTTCTATGTTGTGTTAAATCAAATTTCGCGTAAATAAAGCTCGTGTAAAAAATTACATATATTTCGCATTCAATTGTTACATAAAGTAGAGTAAACTGTCGCATAATGCAGTTAGACAGTTTGTTCTTGTTTGCAATCGCATTTTAGATAAAACATTCTGTTACGAATTTTATCCGAAACTCTTGGGCTATGAACAAGAATTCTTCTTTCTTTGGAATTCAAGTTTTTTAGGTATATAGTATTAATCATGAAATTTTGATAATTATGGTTTTAATGCTCAGTTTATTTACAAATAGATAACTCTTAGGATTTATTCTTTATCAGCGCTGAAGACTTTCTTATACAACTTTCATTCTTTTTCCTCTTTTTATTGTCCCAAATTTATCAGCTGATGGAAATGGTAGCCTTACGTACTACTTATTTCGGGTACAAATGGTAACATTTTGTGGTGCCAACGTTCGTTCAAACATTAATTGATCCAATAAGAATTTTTGCCTAAAAAGGCAGGTATAACGTTGGTCACAGGTCTGCAAAGTTTATCACAACAGACGGCAATTCGTTTCTCTTCGATTTTTCAAGTTTCGTGTTGTCAGCCGAAAAAAAGATGTGTAAAATAATCCTTCGGGGGCACAAAAACGGTTGCTTTATTTTGTACAAATTTACTTCTTATATAGCCTTTAATTTTGACGTCTTCTGTGATTAACA